TTGTATAATAAAAAATAATTTTTTTATTTCTTAATTATACCCTCTTTATATATTGTGTTATTTAAATTCAAAATCTTTTATTTTCATAAAAAAATTACCATTAAATTATTTAACTAATTAACTAATTTTTCTATTAAAAAAAGGTCATTCGGATGAATTAATATATAAAGTAATTGTATGTAACAAAATAATAATAATAATAATTGTTATTTTTTAAATTAAAATTTTAAAAATAATTTATGTATTTAAAAATAAACTGTGTTTACTTATATCATATTTAAAAAAATAAAAGATAAATATAAATTTTTTTTGACAAGATGAATAATTGAAAATGATGATAGAATAAACATAAAAAATATTTATTTTTATAAAAAATAAAAAGCAATAATAATTAATAATTTAATAAAAATGTAAAATTAAAAAATAGTAATTATTTTAAAAGAAAAGAGTAATAAAAAATATATGCGGCATAAGTATGCCACTTCAAATGTGAGTTGAGATGGTTTGATTAGAATTGTTAGCGTGTGGGTTCTGTGTTTATTATAACAGTTTTAAAAGAATAATTTTTTTACTTAAAATTTATTTTAAATTAATGGTTATTTTTCAAAGTTTAAAGAAAAATAATTTTTAATGTTTTAATTTTATAATTATTTTTTAATTTTAATTATTCACCTTATCATTACAAAAATTTTTTAATTATTTTTATTTCTTTCTTAAGTTAATATAGCTAAATATATAATTAATTTTCTTTAAATTCTTAATTAAGGTGGAATAAGTATATTTTAAAAAATTTCGTGCCAAAAAAAAGGAAAAAAAGGACATGAGGAGGCAGTAATTAGGTGCAGGTGCAACTTTTAAAACTGTCGGCACAGAATACGTCTGAAAAGCGAAATAAAGCAGAATAGGAAGTGACCACTTCCCCCAACTAGGCTCTTTCTGGGTCATGTAGCCGTTAATTGTCCCTATAGATTGCATATTTCATTAAATGGAGCATGGTACAAAACGTTCAAGCATTTGGCTTCGGTATTGCCAAAAAGAAAGAGGAGAAAACAAAAAAAAAAAAGGAAAAAGAAGCCGTTAATTTGGATTCAAGAACTGGGAAAAACATTGTTCTAAGCACAGGCAGGGGAATGGTGGAAGTCTCTGACTGTTACAAAGGCAATTGAACAAGAACAGTGATGGGAGACTAGGTGTCGACGAGCTTTGGTTTCATTGAAGATATGTTCAATGATTCCGTGGAGCTGCAATGGTGTTCCATTGAGCAGTATCACAGTGAATGTTGCCATCTCTGGGAGTCAATGGCAACTCTTGATTGGTAACCTCTGAAACCAATGTTAGAATCTGAATCATGATTAATGACTCCAATTTCAAGTTTTCGTCGTTGACAATGCTGCTGTTAAACGCCGTGGATCTTGCCATCAATCAGCATTATAGTAATTCCTGACTGTAAAAGAAATAATTAATTAGATTGTGACGAGTGATGATATATTAAAGAAAGTGAAATGGGAGATACCTGTTAACGTAAACACATTAGATAATTGTAGATTCCTTTTTTCATTGGTTTGTAACTAGATAAGATTTTAAAGACTTAGCTATTACACGCGAAATGTTTCCTTCTTCTTCTTTTTTTATCCTTTATGCTTATCATATGCAGAATATACTTCTTGTGTCTTATTTTAATTATAATATAGTTTCGTGTTATACTTATACAAAAATTATCATATTTATAAGAATACAATTTACAAGTTAATATTTTATATTTATCTTAATATAATTTAATTAATAAAGAAATATAGGGTAATTATCACTTTAGATCTATTTTATTTATTACACTTTTAGCTTAATAAAAGTAAGAGAAAATTAATAATGACTTGTTGATTCCAATGAAAAAAATTTGGTTCTCATTAAGTAAGGTATCGAATTCGAATCTTATAAATAGAGAAATAGACGTCGAAAGAACTTTCTCCTAACAGGTTAGACTCGGTTCGATTCTAAATTAGTCGGATACAATGTGATTACTGAATACTAAGATGTTAGTACAAAAAAAAGTAATAAAAAATTATCAAAATTTATAAAAATACAATTCTTACAAACGCAAATATACGGAGCCAAGGCTCGAAGTGGAGTGCACTCCATTTCCCATCAGGCGATGCCAAAGTAGGGTACTAGAAGAAGCAACATATCAGATCAAGAAGCAAAAAGAAGGTAAGAATACAATTGATGAACCAAAATATGGTTTTTTTGAAGACTGAAATAGAAAGTCGAAATTAAACAGAGAATTTAACACCGACACCCATGATCGTCCGGATAAGTGGATGAATGTTGTGGTATTAGGGAGCGCATAATTTCCTCCAATTAAAGTTTGTCTGCAAACAACCTTGTGGTTGTAGGTTGATGTCTTGCCCAATTGGTCTAGGTACCTATATCATTGTTATAAAAGTTAACAATTAGTCTCTTTAATGTGCATAATTTTGTTGGCTAATTAAGAAAAAGATGTGCCAAAAGCCATCACCAAAGTTCCGTGACACATCTTTGCTGCCACGGTTATAGGCTCCATCAGAATATATATTCCCCATCCCATGCTCCGTCTGTGGTCCAAACTCTTCACCATTGTTGATACATCTTTGTACCTCTGAGCCACTTGATTCAGATCAAACGGATCCTGAACTCTGTTGATGACAGTTGAATCAATGTCTGCTCACGCACAGTACAAACAAGTATATTAATCCAGGGCCTAAGATTGACTGAAATTAACATAACATGCTTAAGTTAAATTATAGTAAAGGTTTACCGGATCCGAGGTTGTAGATATGTTGGGTTAATTAGTCCATTTACTACACCAGGGGCCGGTGACCTGAACTCCTGAAGAAATGTGGCAAACCATGTCTCATTGAAAAAGCCACCGGGACCAAGAACCTTTTGCTATGGTGTTGGCATTTGACTACAGCTCCTGCAGGATTTCTTTGAGTTGCTATCACATCTTTGCCATACTGCTCCGTCGGTCTCCACTCTTGCAGCTATTCCTGTCCACAAAGCTCATTTCCTGATAAAAACATATTCAGTGCATTATGCATCAAATTAAACATATTCAATGCATTACCTTATACTAAAATGAAAATCTTTATAATCTTAATTACCAAATTCTTATGCATGATATGCATCAATCTTGTATCACTTTGAGACGGTGTAGGCGATGAGATCTCTTGTATTCTCGAGTTCCATTCACCAACCCAGAGACCCTTCCTCTACTTCGAGATTCTTTTCTTCCATACAGGGCATTTATCACAAAAATAACGAAGGCACTGCAAATTAAGATGATGAGATTATATACTTTGTTAATGCCAAAAGAGAAATCGATTATGGTAAACAAGTTATTGAGCTGAACCCATCTCTCAATGACTCCATCATACAGGCACCTCCCGCTGAACCCAAACAAACCGCATTGTCTTTTTTCTTAAGAGCAGGACACTCTTTTTTTTTTTTTTTTGGTCAGCAAAAATCTTTATGAATGGAAATACAAGGGCACTCCAAACCTGTTTCCTAAGAAACAATTGCTTCTGTATCAGCTTATAAATTCATTACTCTAAACCACAAAATTGCTAGTTATGAGCAATCAAATCGGAGACTTATTCCACAGCCGGCAGGCTTTCCTTTGCTGATCTCAGCCATAAGTCCCAGTCAAGATCAGAACATATATTAGCTTTAATCCAGAAAAACGATCCACACTTGACAAGTTCTACTACCTTCTCCATTGAAGACGCCCCTCTAGAAGATTCGGCCATTCCCCCATAACCATGGGGACAATACAATACAAAACCAAATGACTGGCCCCACCTCCTGTAAGTATTTGCTGGATACCAAATTAAAATGTTATGACATATGTTTCCAGCCTTCCCTTTATGCCCCAGCAATTGTAACAAGAAGCCCAAATCATCCATAATGTTTTGCATCCAAAGAGTAAATGATCCTTGGACTCAGGTGCTTGTCCACAGTGTACACAAGAAATCGTTATCCTAAATTTTAACTCTTCTTTGGAGCAAGTTTTCCTTTGTTGGTATTTTGTTTTGTAATGCTCTCCATACGAGGCCGCTGCCACCTCAGGGTACGTTTAGTGCAGTTTTCTAACTGTTTTTTGATATTATTTATATCTTATAAGTTTAAATTTTATTTTAAAAATTTATATTTTTAAATTATTTTTTATTTTTAAAAAGACCTTAAACAATAAAAGATCAAAAACTTTAAATTCAAGTTTTTCATAAACTTTATTTTTACTCACTTTTTTTTTATTTTTAAAAA